GGGGGGGGGGGGGGGGGGGGGGGGGGGGGGGGGGGGGGGGGGGGGGGGGGGGGGGGGGGGGGGGGGGGGGGGGGGGGGGGGGTGCGGGGCTCGGGCCGGGGTTGGAGGTGCCGGGGGCGGGGGTGCGGGGGTGTTGGGTGCGGGGTTGCGGGGTGCGGGGGCGGGGGTGCGGGGTTGCGGGGTTGGGGCAGGGCCGGGGTTCCTTCTGCGGGGGCGGGGTTCAGGTAGCCCCGCGGCGGGGTTCCGGGGTTGAAACCCCTACCCCGGCTTGGGCCCCGGGGATCCCCGCGTGACAACGCTGGTGGTATGTGATGGATGGAGTCGCGTCAGTATCCGACACCCCATGTGGGTGTCCAGGGAGGGACCTTTCTTCTATGTGTGCGGTCCCTCCACCTCTCTCACATGTGTGGTGTGTGATGGATGGAGTCGCGTCAGTATCCAACAGGTCAGGTCATATCTTCTGAGTCTTCCGCTGCGCTACATTGTGCTATTTTTGTATGTGTGTTAGGACCTGCCAAACACGGACTGAGACACACAGCTGACTTCTGAGTTTTGCCAATGGAATGTATGCCTCGCTGAGTTTCCCGCTTGTTGCTGCGTTTTCTAAGTCCGAGTGTGTGTGTGCTTGCTGGTCTGCGTGCCTGTCTGAGTGCTTGTCGGTTTGCGTGTGTGTGTGACCCGTGAGGGTACTTGTCCGTGCGGAAGGCCCAAAGGGTCGGTACTTACCTGCGGCCATGACATTGAGGGTTGCAGCGGGGAAAACACTCAAGCAGCGGGGAAAGAGGCCCGCGACACTAGGAGCAGCGGAAAAATACTCAAGTAGCAGGTAGGCTGGTACCGCACCAGGAAGAGGTAGATGTGCCAGGTACTCGAGGCCGAGCAGAAGAAGACAAAGTTGGCATTTTTAGAGGTCCAGTAGTTGCAGGCTAGGTCTAGGCGGGTGCCAGTCCAACCAGTCTGAGTCTAGGGCCTGGACGAGCAATATCAGAGTCTGCAATGATGTTTCCCTCCGAAGGGGAGAAGGTACTGGTGGCTTGGAGGCCGCGCGGCCAAGGAAGTCACTCGACAAGAGGCAAGCACGCCACTATTATATCTCCAGGAGGAGCGAAGTGCTCCTCCTCATTGTCGGTGTGCAAGTTTGGCGACACACTGGTTGGAGCGCTGGCTGGAGCAGTGCTAGCATAGAGCAGCGCTGCTGGGGAAGGAGCAAGGACAGGAGGAGGAGGAAGACAAGGACTAGGAAGGGGGAGCGCCAGAGGTACTTACCTGGCTATGGTGTTTGCCATCTTCATCACCTTGGTGGGCGCTGCAGCAAGAAGGCCCCAGCGGGGTAGAGCTACACCAAGAAGCCTCGAGACAGAGTCAGGCATGGCGGCCTGAACTAGAGCAGCCATAGCTGCTCTGAGTTGTCTTTTGCACATCAGGGCAAGGCCCTAGCAGTCCGCCATACCCTTGGCCTTCAGGAAGAGGAAGGAGAAGGGCGGCCATGGCTATGGTGGACCTCATGTTGTACCTGCAGTAGAAGAGGGATTCGGACATTGATTCTGGTTCAGCCATTCAACATTATTATTATTATAATAGGGGAAGAGTATTTTCAATCAGTGCCAGAACTTCAGATCGTAGCTTGTTCTGCTCCTTATAATGCTTAAAGGTTTAATCAAATCAGCTATTCGCAGTGAAAATCCAATTCCTTTTTTTGAACATGCTGAACTTCTTCTTTACAATATTAAGGAAAATTTACAAACACAGTAAAATGACACAAACTTCTTCTTTATTTTCCTGCATTCTTCTTTCACTGTCTTGCAGTTTTAGTTAAGGGTCTCCCACCTTTGTACACTCTTTTCAGGGCACCTGCACCTTTTTGTTAAGGTGCAAGGTACGTCTGAGTAAGACCCTCATGACAGATAGGACAACTATTATAAGGATGCAGGCGATGGTAGCAGCCCTCCCGCCGATCTATAGGACGAAGATGATTCAGGCAAGCAACCTCGTCACAGCAGGAGCCAAGACAGCTAGCATCCACCATACCTCTGAAGTATGCACGGCAGAGGGCATGCCGGTTGCAGGCCATGACGATTGTGGGGCGTTCACCATCACAGTTAAGTGCACATTCGCTATAGCGACCGCAGGCACAGATGGGACATACTGCATCTGGATGTAGAGGATGTTCACAATCCGGATGCATGTGGCATCCCTGCAGACAGCCGGCCCGAAAAATAATATGGTTGTAGTGACGTCGACAAAGTCGATGCTTTCCACAGCCAAGTGTAACTGTGTCAGTGGCCGCACAAGGAAGGAGGTCACAAAGGGTTAGTGCAGCATGTGGGGGAATAAAGACTGAAGCAGGCACGGTGACAGACACGGATATATATATCGTCGAACACAGGGTTGCCAGGCCGAACGTACGGAGGCCCCTAAGCTGACCCCTGAATGTTCGGGCGTTCGGGTCCCCGTACGGGGCCCGAACCTGAAGGGGTTCGGACCCCGCGAAAAATTATTTTGGCACCTAAATTATATTATTATTCTTTTCTGATTTTTTTTTTTTGTGTTCTATATCTATATTTATATATATATTTACCGGGCAGTTCTGTTTGTGACGATATATGCTACGACTTCGCTAGCTTCCTGCTACGGTTTTTTCCGGTCAGGTCGAGCGGCAGTGGTCGGGGCCGTTACTAGGCGGCCATGCTGTGCCTCTAGTGCCAGCG